CTAAAATGGCAGCACGATTGATCTGGGTTATAATGATCGCCTTCGTGGCGACACACGGCGCTCAAGCTAGGAGTGAGTAATTGAGGCTGTGAGGGGAGAATTTAGTTTTGAATTAAATCGCAAGCGGTTTTTTATTTCTTGATAAGGCAGAGCTGCTCAATAGACCGAATTTCATTCTGACGCCCTATAGTGGTGAAAAACTGCCTAGACAAAATATGGAGCTCGGTGTAAGAAATGCCGACTTTTTTTATTTCAGAGTGGGAGCTGCTTGGTTGCTACGCAGATAGCAGGAATCGAGCAATGCCTCACTTCTTCAAAACTGTGGTATCCAGTGACTATAAACACATCTTTGAAGAATGCAGCAAAGAAGCCGAGAGGCTTGGTTATGATTACTTTGGTGTTCAGTACTTTAAAGAATGCTGGGGATCCAAAGATGCTTATGCGACGTACGACAAGCATGGCTGCAAGGACAACTGTAAAGTTCAAGGCGAATATGGCATCGGAACCAAATGGTCTAACTTCATGTACCACCTTAAAAATGGTAAATATCTACTTAAGTAATAATTCTCAGCAAATTCTTGGCCTCAGTGTGAGAAYGTAGAAGAGCCGGTGGCTAGCTCACCAGTCAAATACCGATCATAATTAAGCAATTTTAGCGCGCGTAAGTGACATGCAATTAAATATATTAAAACATAATTGGGCACCGTATATGCACAATGAACTAGCTWATCAATTAATTTGCGCTTTATTTCAATCCGATATATACTATGAACATTAGTAAGTTTTCTTGTGTTTTAGAATGGACCGGGTGTAGTGCAAAAAAGTGCGGCGAAGGTGTCAAATATAAACTCATACTTTCCAAAGACACTCGTCCAAAATGTCCAKCGTACAACGTRAAGATTACAACATCAAAAGTAACCCAGCCTTGCTCAGCTGCTAAGCCATGTCCAGGTATTGTGATATGTTCGTCATAATGCTATTTGTGTTTGTCAATTAGTGAAGAACTCTACGGTTGATATTGTTTTTTTAATGTTCGTCCATTTTCCTKTGTTTGTAAAATGGCTGGTACGTGGTGTGATGAGGTAAAAAAAAAATGATGGTGGTGATGATGATGATCATGATGGTAACCTGGTTATGATAATAATGAGATGATGCATATGATGATGATGATGGTGATATTATGAAGATAATGATGATGACGTTGACGATAATGATGAAGTGCATTGATGATGGTTTTGATAATGATATTAGTAATAACTCAACTGATATGATCGTTATACTTTTCTACTTTATAATCTAGTCAATGGTCGATGGAGTGCCTACTCAGCCTGGTCCACKTGCAGCAAGACCTGTGGTGGATCGGGAACGCAGAAGAGAACTCGCACATGTACCAACCCTGMACCTGCCCATGGTGGAAAACCATGTTCTGGATTAGCTGGAGAATCCCGCAAATGCACCTCGGGCCCGTGTCCAGGTTCGTGACTTAAGCTTTTTTAATGTTAGATGTTTAAAAACATTTCTTTAATTATTTAATTCACCTACTGCTATTATTGCTAAAACATGCATGTGTGTATATGAAGCTCCAAATCTCCTTATCCTTGTCGTCATCCATGACAAGCTGWATCTATTGTTTTCATAGTCTGATAWATCCGGTGCAAAATCAAATTACTTCTGGTGCAATCATTATAGGAAAATGGGAAACATGTTTTAGGTTTTGGTCCATATCTTTAGAATCTATACACGCACTCAGTCATCCAGACTGAGCATGGTGCACACAGAAAATAAAGCTTGGCTCATATATAGATAAAATATATATTCAGGGCCTCTTTTGTATTCCAAAATCCTGAGGCAGTTCATAGGTCTTTGATCCTTAACTGCCGTGATTAGAAAACTGATCTATGATATGTTTTGAAAGTTCTCAAATTCCAAAACATCGTTCGTTCCTTTTGTTCCCAATTCCGATTGTACCCAAAACCGTGCGATTTCCTATACTAATTATATCATTATCAGTTGATGGTGGATGGAGTGCCTATTCGCGCTGGTCAACATGTAGTAAGAAATGCGGTGGAGGAACTCAGAAGAGAACCCGTACTTGCACCAACCCACCACCTTCTCATGGTGGAAAACGATGTTATGGTCCAGCTGAACGAAAACGAAWATGCAACAGAAAGCCATGCTCAGGTTAGTACATGACTTCTAACCTTGTTTTATGATCCACAAATAAGTCAATGAACAATTAGCCATAGGTCCTCGAGCCTTAAGTCTGGTCATTAGTGTGGAACAATATCTTGTTGTATCCGTCTAGGTCTCCAATCATGCTGTTGTCTGTATATATATTTTTCAAATTACATCCAGTAAAGCGAACAGCGGCCTCCTCTACCTTTGTTTTGAAGCAAGTTTTTCGCAAGTCACTCGAATGCCTTGCATCTTCTATACATRCGGAATTCTTATGTGTTGATAATCTTTAATGAGGGAAACCTACACAMTAAGCGTGGTTTTCAGTAGTGCCCTAAATAAGAATATACAACAAGTAATATTACAATAATACAATTAAAGAATTATGAATAAACAAAAAATATGGATAAAAAGATAAATTAAATACGATAAGAAAAATATAAAATTGTAAAATATAAAAGAGGGAATAAACAATCTCCAGTGGGAGGAAAAAAGAAGGAAACAAAAACTTTAATTTATAATAATTATGCAACACATTAATAAAAACAAAACTATTATAATAGGAGAATAATTTCAATCTCGGATTTGTATCAATATTGAACAACAGTTAACGGTGGATGGAGTGTCTTCTCGGCCTGGTCAACATGCAGTAAGAAGTGCGGTGGAGGAAYTCAGAAAAGAACCCGTACTTGCACCAACCCACCACCTTCTCATGGTGGAAAACGATGTTATGGTCCAGCWGAACGAAAACGAAAATGCAACAGAAAGCCATGCTCAGGTTTGTACATGACTTCTAACCTTGTTTTATGATCCACAAATTACTCAATGAACAATTAGCAATCGAGCCATAAGTCATTAGTGGTCATTAGTGTGGAATAATGTCTTGTTGCATCCGTCTCCAATTATGCTTCTGTCTGCATATTTTTTTCAAATTACTCTCAATAAAGCAAACAGCGGCTACTTCTACCTTTGTTTTGAAGCAAATGTTTTTCGCACGTCACTCGAATGCAGACTTGGTTCTTCTTATAATGTTCTCATAATAACTTCTTTTTGTCGATTAAGATAATATACTTTTGTTTGATAAGTCAAGATGTCAGAGCCCTTTAGTAGCTTAAGGTGCAGCACACACACCTCCACAAGGCAAAGCCAGTTTCATRCAAATTACTTATATTACATTATTAATACGGACGAAAAAACATCGGAGAATCTGGAG